GGGGGGGGGGTCCAAGATGGTTGACTGTAGATTAACAAGGGGGGCTCCAATATAACATGAAGGAGATTCCAATTTCATTCTACTGGGCATAAATAACTCGAAACAAAAGGAACCACCCCTTGGTCATGCCACAGTGTATAATAAATATTATCATGTTTTTGTAAATATTTGATCCCATTACTGCAATATTCATAAACGTGTGAACTCTGTGTCTTCAAGCTGCATACTAAACATTTTTTTCCTCTGCCGCCAGTCAAAAATATGAAAGGTACCGATTGATTAGGTTTGATTGATGGCAACGAAAAACCAAATTTCATCATGCAGCTCACATACACAGAGTTCACATTTATGAAAATTGCAGTAATGGGATCCAATACTTAGGTCAAGCATAGTCACCTTTGATCCCTTTTCGGTAAGTAACCTGGTGAAGTCTAAGGCCTGAAACAATATCCCTTTGTACCTAAAAAAAAATTTTTTTTTAAATGAGGACACCAATACTTCTTACAGCAAATCCAACAATAAGGATGGTTTGTGGGTCACAAGTACACCTTATTTATCAATTGACATGGTTTTCTTTGTTATTCACAAGGCTTTAATTTTGTTATAACCCTCATTATAAATGCGAGGTCAATATATAGTGATTAACCCGGTTAATAGAGAGTTTTAGATTGACTTTTTTTCTCCCCGCAAACAGCGAACRTGACCACATTTTCATTGTTTTCCTGTATTTTGCTTTACCTTTTACAAACCTTCTCCCCAAAGACAAATATTCTTTTGTTTTTCTACTACTTAGACTTTTTTGCGATTCTTTTTAAGATATTTAAAATGTGTTTTTAATGGTCAACTGTTGTCTCACGTTTGCCGTGAACGTAAATCTAAAACTCTCTAATAACTATATATTGACTTCACATTTATAATGAGCAATTCAGTTCAATTCATCATTCATAGAAAACCTTCTCAGTTGATAAATAAAATACTTAATTACCTTGAACGTCGGCAATAACCCTATACATCCCTCGGGCCTGTGGCCTTTGGGATGTATATGGCTTTTTTTTTTGTATTTTATTTGTATATGGCTTATTGCCTCTGTTCTCGGTAATTAACTCTTACTTATTCATGGTGAATTTTAATATGGCACCTATGATTGTTAAGCCTGAAAGGGGATGGGGAGAGGAAAGGGTTAGGATTTGACAGACTTATGGTTGACCCCATGGTCAGGATTTTGATATACTTTGCTCTACCCAGGGTGGGGAAGTATTGTCCTGAGTCCTTTTAAAGAGTTGCCTTTATTTTACAGCATAATTGTTTGATGTTAAGTATGGAAATACTTGTTGAGATATAAAGTTGTCTTTATGGGGAAATTTGACTTAAATTGACTGCAACTGTTGTCCCAGGGGTGTTGATTTTGACTTTTTTTTTTGGCAAAAAATGTCACTCCCCAACAACCCTTGCTATTACTTTTTAAGCATTCAAACATCTGCCATTTTGTTTCTAAAAATAGTAAGAGACAACAAGACTCATGCTCAAATACCCCCTCCATGAGGTAAATAAATCTGTACGTGTAGTTCCTGAAAGTATCTTGCCCCAAAGAAGGAAATTGGAGCCAGCCCATACCACTCGGAACGAGTTACATGATTGGATTAAAAAACAATAGATTAGTTATCCAAGCAATAGCACTAAACGTCACCTTACAAAAGCGGTACTGTACTTAGGGAGCAATGAAAATCCAGCTTTCAAGCGGTACTGGATTACTAGGAAATTGATAAGGATCAGCTTCCTCTCCTCCCCCCAACACACACACACCCCCCCAGAAATTCCAATTTTCTTTTATACAAACTTTGTAATTTTGTTCATTCTCTTACCCACATCCCCCCCTCCCCCACCCCTACTACTTGGTGTGTGTGTGGAGGGGGAGGGGGTATGGATAATTTCTGGAACTACACAATGATATTTATTAGGTCTGTATTCATTTTTGTTCAACATGGTTATAGAGTAATTTTTGTAAGAGTAGGAAATACTAAGGCAAATTCATTGCCATACTGCATGCTACTGTAGCCATAACTACATGTTTTTACAGCATGTTATGCCATGCACATGTTGTAAGTCAGTTGCTTCCCACTCGTACAAAAACTGCACTAATATATCCAAATCTGTACTCTTCAGTACTTGACTATATTCTACTTGCCAAATATTTCATATTAATTTTTTTGATTACATTTGAACAAATACAATCCAATTTATTCATATTATAGTGCAAATGGAGATATAAGAGGTTAAGCCTGTAAAGAATACCAAGTCCAGGAATGGAACCCGGGTGAAAATGGTTAGACAAGCATTCTCGCCGCAGATACCTCCCATACTTCAAAAACAACAAGCATTAGACCAGGAAATATTTGAAGRAAAAAAAAAAACAAATAAATAATAATTAAGCAAATATTAGGGAAATTCTTGTTATAACAGATAAAATATTAGATAAAATGCAAAGAATTTTAGATTCAGTCAGCCGCTAAAACCAAGGAGCAAACGATATACACCTATTACCAAAAAAGTCATCCGTTAGAGATCTGAAATCTGAAATCTGAGACCAAGTAGCATGCTGCAAATCATAATTTATTTAAAGCCAAACAACAGTTTCCTTTTAGATTGGGATATGAACCATGACCTTGGAGTCAGGAATGTGATTTTGGTATTTCAGCCAGAAAAAATGAGCAAAAAAAATGTTTAGTCTCAGATCCCTCACAATCTCAAATCTTGGACTGACAATTTTTCTTAGGAATAGGTACATACTCTTCCCCTTCTTGAAATAGAATACATTAATTCAGAGAGAGTCAACAAGAAATGGCTAGATAGATTGCGGGGTCTTTCATTTTTAAAATAATGAAATAAGTGCAAAATAGTAAAATTCAACTTCTATTAAATTTTGATATAAATTCTCAAATTATATATTGTTTTTTTACTGCCATATTCTTTACTTAAGAACATTCAAAAGTAAAGAACAATTTGGGTTTAAAGGCATAAACTACCCATGGTATAAACGGTACCCATGGAACTGTTCATACTGTGCTTAATTCTGGACAATTTAACCGCATTAAGAACCTCTCGTGCTCAAGGTAACAGAGAATTTCAAAAACAATAAGACACCTTTTACCCAAAAATAATCGAATCTTTTGTGTAACACATTTAATAAGTTACAATACAACGTTACTGCCTAATTAACTAGTCTTATTTGCAAAATAAAAAAATAATAACATGGACGACACACAAAAGCCCGAGAACAAAGACCACGACAAACGACTCGAGCAAAAGGCATGGTGTTTGGGTAGCAATAGAATACAAAAGGTATTAAAATTATGAAAAAATGATCAAAAATAATAGATTTTTGCCCGAGGATAAATTTCCGAATGAACGTCATATTTAGACAGTCATTTTTGAACCTCGAGAAGGCATTCCTGGGATTGATTTCAATAAAAGAAATAGTGATAAATTTAATAGATTTGGCAATAAAATTTTGATATGTGGATTAAAACGCAATCTCAAACATGGATAGATGAGCAAGGTGGTGGATTCAATTTTCGATAGAAGGGTCAAATATTGAATGAACAATGTTAATGATTAACTCACCAAAAACGTAATTTTCAGTCTATACTCAGCTGCTTCCTTTATAACAAATGCTTTTTCCTTTAACTTGGTAAGATCGCCTGAAAACAAGACGGAAAAACTCATTCAAGGATTATTTAGTCGATCAATATAAATGTTTAACGTGACTGAACACATTCCGTAACAGTCGGTCTACTTGCAATTTACCTCTAAGTCAGACATGTAAATAAAGACAAAAACAAAAGATACAATAATTTGTGTCTTGTATTCGAGATAGTAGAGACAAAAGAGTTAAGGAAAAACAAAAAATTTGCTTTAAAATTATACTGACCGGTCAAGTCCACCTCGATGTCGGGTCGACCTTCAACTACCAAAGTTAGTTTTTGAACAATTACGTTCGGTCCTCCTTCAGCGCCTTTAAACAAACCGAGGACAAAACAGATAATATAGACTTAAGAATCTCAATGGATAACGATTAAATCAAGAATAAAACGAGAATGCAGTATGTTTTTGTTACCCGCCGCTTCAGCACCCGCAAGAAGAGCCTGTTTGTAGCGAACCAACGATTCGTCCTCAGCATCGAGCTTTTGAATTTCTTCTAAGGTTTTTTGTGCTGGCGGTTTATATCCTGGAGTCTCTTCTGGCTCTTCATCATCGGGAATAGCCGATGGAGACTGCTCTGATTCTGACATGGTTTGGAGTGAAAGAGGAGTAGAAAGATAAGAAAAGATCTGATGGTCTCAGTTTTGCAAGGAAGTAAAGTCCTTTGCTCGTCTTTGGAACAAAATGGAGTAACACCCCATGACGTCATTACATAAACTCTCTCCACCAATCACATCAAAGAATACATCATCTATAATCAGAACCACAGGAAGCCCAAACTACCTTCAGCAGAAAAAAGTTGTACAAATTCAGCTTTTTCCATGCATCGTTTCATTAGGGAACGTTCATTATTTATTATCAAAGGGGGTATTTGGAGTAAGAAAATAGTAGGCCTTGAAATTTTCATTACTTCACAAAGTGGGGTCTTAAATATGACTGATGAAATGTAAATATAATAATTTTTCCTTTGGCATATGGGGTCAAACAAAATTGCTAAGTAATGCAGGAGTTAGAGTAAAAAAATACGTTGAGCTTTACTATATCATGTGGGCTCCATTTTTATTTCTACAAAAAAAATCATCGTTTATGCCTACTTAACCTCATTCAGATGCACTTGAATGTGGGGCTACGTATTGAAAATCTGTTGTTTCAGTCACTGTGGCTGTCACCTGACACTTCTGGCTGAGAACCTGTGAAAATCCTGTGAAAAATATCTCTGTACATGTATTTTAGAAATTTCACAGGTTTTTCACAGGTTCTCAGCCAGTAGTGTGAGTAGAGAAAGCTCCATCTATTCAAGACTTCAAAGTTCAAATTGAATTTCTTCATTGGTTCTTCATTGGTCCACCAGTGAGACTCAAAGCATTCTTGATTGAATCCTTTGAGTCTCACTGGTGAACCAATGTATGGAAAATGATGATTATTAATCAGATGAATAAAGATTTCATTTATTTTTTTACTCTTTATTCTGATCCCCCTCCCCACCCC